CCAATTTTTAATCAACAGTTTATTCCACGTTTTTCAAAACAAGCTGGGCCCCTCACTATTCTGTTTCAGAAGAATGCCTAGTTCCAGTGGTCCCTCAAAACACAGCAGGCATATGATCAGCAGAAACTCACCTTTACCACTGCATCCATACTGCCCCACCCAGATGACAGACAAGCCAATACCATAGGTCATATATCTATGTGCCCATAATTCACAGAGGCTTTTCCCCACTGAACAGAGCTGTGAGATTCTAGCTATAGAGCTCCTAGCCAATGCCTAAGCCTCTGAAGAATGCCAGTGTTATTTAGAAGGGGTTCATCATCCATGTATACACTGACCACTATCCCATATTAAGGATGCTAAATAGTGACTAATTCTGCCTTTGAAATGTAGCAACAACCCTAAGACAGCTGATCCCAGGCTCCACACTGAGTTGCTGCTTTGAAATGCTGGGAGGAGCCTGATGCTGGGCTCCCCATGGCATTTCAAAGCAGCAGCGCCACATGCAGCCCAGTGTTAGCGGGGGAATCCCCAGCTGATCCCGGGCTCCACACAGCGCTGCCACTTTGAAATGCCACATGCAGCCTGGGGACACCCCATCTGGCCCTGGGCTACACACGGCATTTCAAAGCAGCAGCGCCACGTGGAGCCCAGGGTCTGGCCACAGGCTTCAAGCAGCATGGATGCTTTGAATTCCCCTCTTCTCCACCTTGCTGCCTCTTTCTGATAGAGGCAGCAAAGAGGGTGGGGAGGGAAGTGACTAGGGGTATGTCTACACTAAAACGTTAATTCGAACTAACTTAGTTCGAACTAAGCTAATTCGAACTAACGGATCCAGACTAAAAAACTAGTTCGAATTAGCGTTTTGCTAATTCGAACTAGCATGTCCACATTAAGTGGACCCTGAACCGGGCTTAAGGATGGCCGGAAGCAGTGCCGGCAGGGCATCAGAGGAGGACTTAGAGCGTGGAGATGCTGTCTCAGGCTAGCCGAGGGCTGTGCTTAAAGGGTCCCGACCCCCACCCCGGACAGACAGTTCTCAGGGGTGCCCCGCTTGCAAAGCAGTCCTGGCTTGGATTGCCCGGACTACCCACACTGGGCACATCACACCACTCAGCCATCAGCCCGGCTGCACTTGCTGCAGGCTGCCATCTGGGGAGAAGGGGAAATTGGGGGGCTGCAGGAGAGCTTCCACCCCCAGAAGCCCACAGAGCCAGCCCAGT